ACTGTATTTATGGAATTTTATTTTTGTAATTCGCGAAAGATGATGGTTAACGGTTTTTCGCGCGAAAATACTAGATTTTCAACTTTTATGATCAATAGATTTGAATGGAAAATCTAGGCAAACATTATCTCTTGACTATAACTTCCCTCTAGAGTCCAGTATATGTAAACTAATTAAATTGATTGTTCATCAGATTTCAAAAGTTGTTTTCTATCTTGATTATTTATTGCAATTTAATTGTATGAAATGGTTGCAGCATGTAGCTAAAACATATATATGTCCTAAATCATACTTTGTTTTTTTTTGTAGGTTATAGAGGATCACCGTGGCTATTTGGAAAGATGCACAATTTTGCATTACACATACCAATATGAAGAAGGGATGTTAGAGACTTGGATTCAATCATTGGTTCATGTGAAACACACCAAGAGTCTGACACTTATAAACTTTTCTGTCCGTTCAAACAAAAACACCAAATCCAAACCAAACACAGTATCCTATATCACACTCGACTTGCCCCCAAAGTCGTTTTCTCATCCAACCCTCGATTCATTAATGCTAGGTCAGTACAACTTAGAAACTCCTCATGCTTTCAGCAACTGCTGGAATCTAAAGAATCTCAAACTCGTTGGCATTTCCGCGGAGATTGGAGTCTTCAACGCAGTCCTTGGATCTTGCACTTCTCTTGAAGCTCTTGTGTTACATATCAGTTGCCACAAAAGTAGTGGTATTCTCAAGATTGGGAACCGCAACTTAAAGTTTTTGCATCTATCTTGTTCTGGAATTGATGGCTTAGAAGTGTCTACACCGACTCTGAATATCCTTTTTATTGAATCTCTTTCGTGTGACCTAGAGAACGTCGTCATTGCAAATCCTAGACTCCAGTTCAGTAGAAATTATTGGACAATAGGAAAATATTTTCCTCACAGCAGCTATAACATATCATGCCCCCATCAGGTATGTATATAACATTCTGTTACATGCTTTTTGTATTTTGATAGAGAAAGAAATGATGTTAATATTTAATTTGACATGTTTTTGACATATAAATGAATCTAAGGAGGAAAAAAGCATTGGGCATGAAATTATGATGAGCAGCTCCAGGGACTGTATGAAAAGGTTTGGATCGATGTCAGTGAGTGTAGACTTGACTAATACAAAAGAAGTTGAGATGCTAAGAGATGTCTTAGTTGCATGGCCTGTAGAAATGGGAGAACTCGAGATCTTGTTTAAGGTATACGTTCATTTCATTTCATGTTTTGTTCTAATTATAACTGGATCTCTATATAGTGCCTATCTAAAGGACCAATACATGCTTGTTTAGCATATGTAGAATAACAGTGCTACCTTGAAAGAAGGTGATGAGTCTTCCATTGGAAGAACAGGGAAGAATATTTGGGAAGAGACAAAACCGTTTCCCAACGCTCACTTCCATGCATTTACTCTATGGTTGACTAACTTTAGCGGTTTGAAAGAAGAGTTTGCGTTTGCCTCGCGTCTGATAACACAAGGTACAGTGGTTAGGACTATGATGATCAAACCGTCGTCTTTCTCTCCAAGTAAGAAGTTGGAGATTGAAGCGGCAGTGGCCAGGTTAAAGAAGCTTCCAAAATTTCACAAGGAGCTTGGTATCTTTATGTGCGTAAATAACATTTAGCATCTGTTTTCTTTTTTGTTTAAATTTGGTATGGTTTCAATTATGTCTTTTGGTAAATTGTTTTTATGTTTCAGATATTTGGGATCTAATTTGTATTAATTTGAATACTATATGATTGTCCTGTTGAGTTATTCTCTCACTAGCTTGTTGAGTTCTTGTCTTGGTGAAAAAAGTGTTTTGTTCACAACAAGACGAGTTTGCACCATTCACATATGTATCTACATCTCCTAGTCTCACAAGTCACACCAAGGGACTTCATATATCAGGGATTCCTGGTACATCTTCCAATTTAATCTTTTCATATGTAAAAGTGTGTTTAAACCTAAGTTGCATGGAAACGGAAACGGATACGTGGAAACGATTTTTAAAAAAAATTTAGGAAACGGATACGTTTTGGAAACACGCACAC